CGGACATTGCACAAAACCAATATACTAATTCACTTCGTGAATGAGTATAATAAATACTCTATGAATATTAAAGTAAATATAAAAATTAAAGTAGCTAAATCTCTAAAAATAAATGCTTACAATATTTGATTGTTTTTCTTTGAAGAATAGTTTATATACGGTCTCGCTCATTTTTTGCTTTGTATTTAAATTTCTATAAATTAAAGTAAAATTCGTCTTGATGCTGAGGAGTTACTTTCTAGAATTCCTTGTTTACAGCACTTTTGACCTTCATCAAGTGCATTGCTTTTGGCATATCTATATAGACTGAGTAGCTGTTTAGGCTAAATGCCCTTATAGCGCTAACTTTCAAGTTCACACACACAAATATTACATATTTTACACAAAACTCGTTTCGAATGCAGCTCACACAGGCTTTGTGCATTGGCCTAGGCTGTTGTTTCTTTTAGCGCCTACTATTTAAACCAATATCGATTGTATTTGTTGTAAAGTTGGTCTGCAAAGCTTAGGTATATTAACGGCACCTTCGTACTTCATTTGTAAATTGTTCATAGCTCTTGGTTAGCCATTCAGTTTTGTTATTTGGTTCGTCTTGTTTAGCCATTCAAGACTTCACTTTGGCTGAGTTTATGGCTGGACAGTGGGAGAGACGCCCACACAACTATTAACCTTTATTGAAGTGTATCTGTAGCATTACGTATGGACTTGCTTGCGAATTCTTCGCCAACTGCAATTGCGCAAAAGTGCCTGACTGAGCAAACGGAGAATCACAAATGTGTATCACATACACACACACACACTCTCACGATCAATTTGTAGCTGAAAATCGAAGCAAAACCAAATCAAAACTCAAATTCCAAAATACAATTAAAGTGCGAAGCGTTGAATCTCATTTAGAAAAAGCAATTTCAAGTTCAAATCGAAAATCGCCAACTATTTGGCCGCACATCACTCATACGCCGCATACGCCGCATAGGCGCTGCCGCTGGGGCGACCTGTGCGCTGACCTTCCGACAATTAAGCGAAAATGTTGCACGCCGCCAATTACGGCAAGCAGCATTACACTGTTTTTGTATTTTTGGCAATTGAAATGCGCGTGCCACAAATCGAATTCGAAATTGAAAACGAAAACAAAAGCGAAACAGTATGGATCTGTGCATCATCTTGGTTTGCCTTAAATTGTGGAACTGGGGCAAGCATCTCATATCCCTAAACAGGGAGGGTGTTTTTGACCTCACTGGCATTGACACTGATACGCTCATGCCCGAGCTGATCATTCGTAAAATTGGTTAGCGATCGCTATCGCAATCGTAATCGGAATCGCACTCAGCGCTCGCCAACGGATTCCCCTTTGCGTATAAATATGCGACGCATGCCTCGCTGTTTGTCAAACAACGAGACGCGTTCGACAGTCGCGCATTTCCAGCGAACACACGGACACCGAGAAGTGAGACGAGTAAGTGAGTGCTTGAGCGGATTAGAATGATGAGTCGTGCGCTGTTATTGCTGCTGTTGGCGCTCGTTGGCGCCAGCCATGCGGCGACACATGTCAACATCTCCATAGCCCAACAGCCAGCCACAAATCCGGCTGATGTCACCATCATTGATGGCGAGGCGCCGGCTGAGCTGAAGGCGGGTCCGTATAGAATGCAGCAGGAGCAACGCTTTGCCAGATTGCAGGAGCGACCACAGCAGCAGCAGCAGCAGCAACAACAACAGTTGCAGCAACAGCAGCCGCAGCAGCAACAGCAGCAAATGCAATCACAGCAGCAACCACTGACTCCGCGCCAGGGTTTGGGTCTGCAGTCTGCTCAACCTGTTGCCGTCAATCCCAATGCTCGCATGCCACGTCGTCGTATGCACAGTCGTCGTCCCACCCTGTACCAACAGCCGCCGCACAGCGGACAATTCCGTCAGCGCAACCAGCAACTGCGTCAGAATCAGGAGTTCGAGCGTTACATACAATCCTACCATAGCCATGGACCGACCGTGGAAACTGTAAGCTGGAGATGTTTGTGGTTGCATAATCTAGTTTCACTATAAATTGATCTATTTACTGCCCACAGGTCTTTGAATCCTCCAGTCCGTCGCCTCAGCGTTATACTCAATCCAGCAGCAGCAGCTCTAGTTCCAGCTCCTTAGCTGACGACGATGCTGTTTCCATTGGTGGCAGCAGGTCCCAACAGCTGCGCATGTTTGAGCGTCAAGTAGTTGCGCCTGCGGCTTCACAAGGTCAGAGTGCCAACGTGGAGCAGGCAGCGGATAGCAAACCCGTCTATGAGCCACAGGCACCGCTGCCAGCTCCAGTGCAAGCTGCTTCCATTGCGCCTGCACCTGTCTCAAGTTCCAGCTCCAGCACCAGCTCTAGCTCTAGCTCGGCTGCAGCCCCAGCTCCTGCGCCTGCTTCGACTCCCAATGACGTTAAGATCGGCAGCAATAACTTTGAGCCTGCCTACGATCCCTCCTTCGACAACAGCTACAATCGACCCAGCTACGACCAGGGCGGCTACAGCTATGACGATTCACAGGCTGACTATCAGGATCAGTATCCACCAAATGTAGATGAGGCGTCCAGCTATGATGACTACGCCGATCAGTCTGGCGGCTATCTGCCACCGCAGCGTGGCTATGCGCAGCCCGCACCGCCACGCCCCGTTGTCACCAAGACCATACAGATTGTGCAGCCGGCGCTGAAGGCCAAGAAATACGAAGTGCGTCATCCGGCTATCCAGAAGGAGTTCTACGACATCGAAGAGCGCGTGGTTATTAAGCCAGCTGGCACACTGGTGGTGGAGCTCGATCATCCAGTGGCCAAGATACCCAGAGGTGAGACATTGCTGCCCCTGGGTCATCCACATCCTGCCGTTGCCTCTGCTTACAACAACAATGGACAGGTGCAAACACAGAGCTACAACAACAATGGCAATGAGTACAGGCCATCCTATGATACGCCACAGAAGGAGCAGCAATTGGGCACCACCATTGGCTCCAGTGTGACGACGATGCCCAGCTATGATCAGGCGCCCAAGGATGAATATGTCGAGGCGCAGCTGCAGCAGCAGCCCGGACAAGGCAGCGATGCCCTCGACGGCAATCGTCAGAGCTTGCCAAGCCCCAGTCCCAGCTCCAGCTCTAGCTCTAGCTCCAGCTCGAGTGTCATCGCCACCGATGGCAATGGCAACCAATACCAGATCAATAAGAAGCATCTCACACCCAAGATGCTGACACGCGTCGAGCCCGAGCAACAGCCTGACTATGAGTACGGACGCAGCGAGGCCAGCTATCCAACACAGCGTGGCTATCAACGCAATAGCTACAATCGTGCCCCATATCAGACTCCCAGTAATGACGATTACTTCAGTGGCGAGTTCCTGCCCAATGCCAATGCTGGCAATGTGGAGGCCAAGCCAGCTCGCCTGGAGGAGGCACCGCCACGCACGCAGATCATCA